AGGGTTACGGTTTCCCCTAGCGCCCCCTGGCATGACAAGGAATAATGGACACAAATTATTGGAGAGTAGGTTTAGATTAGACATCCGCAAGAACTACTTCACAGTTAGGGCGGCTAGGAGCTGGAACCAACTTCCAAGGGAAGTGGTGCTGGCTCCTACCCTGGGGGTCTTTAAGAAGAGGCTTGATGCCTACCTGGCTGGACTCATTTGAGTCCAGTCTTTTCTCCCGCCCAGGCGGGGGGTCGGACTTGAAGATCTACAAGGTCCCTTCGACCCGACTTCTATGATTCTGTGATTCTATGAGGTAACAGAAGTGCCCTGCCCAGCGGGGTGCTGCAAGAAGAAATGCTTTAAAGACTATGAGGTGCTCAGGTACTACATAATAGGGATTATGACAAAATATTCCAGTAAAGAGGTGATTTTCATTTGTCCTTGGAACAAGCAATTCAGCAGCACAATCCGCCCTGCCAGTATTTCTCACTCAGTATAGAGATGGTACACATCCTGAAGTAAAATACAGTTCAGACTGTGCACATGATCAATCCTGGTCTTACGGTCACTGTTTAATTGTGTCTTGACTTTGTGGCCATTCAGAATTTCATGGCAGGGGTAGAAGTCCTTCCCCCAGAGGCCATCCCTAGATCAGCTGGGCCAAAGGAGAAGCTTCTTTTGCAGGGCAGGCATGACATTGCATACAGCAAAGGTAAACAGGACAACTAGGCAAAAAATTGGTGTTGATGGTGACACAAAAGTCAGTGAAATGAAAAATATTTTAATAAATTTCTCTTTTTCCTGCCAAAGAACTTCTCAGCTTTTCTAATAGTTTTTCTGGATAGATGTCCCTTAAAATGCAGGGATCAAATCCATCTGCTTTTTAACTTGTTGATGTAAATATAAATTATTATTATTCCTGATGTCTTTGCTCTGACAACTTTGTTGTCAAAGTTCTTCCCAGGAATAGTCAGCTTTGAGCTTTTGCTTTCATTCCTTGATAGCCCTGGTATCTTGTACAAAGGATTCACATTAATATCAGAGCCCATGCTAGTCTACATGATTTGAAGAATAACTGCAACATTTTTTTAGATGCTGGGTGTCAGACCCCAACTCCATTTCCCTATTACGTAGTACCCGAGCACCTCATAGTCTTTAAAGCATTTCTCCTTTAGGACTCTGCTGGGCAGGGCACTTCTGTTACCTCCATTGTTAGAGATGAGGAACTGAGCTACTGGGAGGCTAAGGGAAGAACCCAGTACGCCTGCTAGGCCTTGCCCTGGTAGGATCGGGATGATCAGTTTGGAGGCAGGGAGCAAACACCAGCACACATTGCTCACAACAGCTTTATTCACAATGGAGGCAGCTTCGGACAAGGGTCCCTCACAGACACACAGCCCGTGAACCAGGGGACCTGCACTGAACAATAGTTAATTCCCCACATTTATGCACTTTGGTTTATACTCATTAACATTCATTCCACCTCTGTCCCTCCTATGTTCCACCCATTTCTCCTCCCATCTCAAGCTCCGCCTCTGTTTACTGTTTGCTTCATTAGCATGGAATTGCCTATGCATTTCATACATTTACACGTCTTTTTGCTATGAGCGCATGTCTAAGACCTTGACTCCTGCTCTTTGGTCAATGGGCAGACTTTGACCAAAACCTGGAAGCTTCTGGAGGCTCTTTCATCAATCACCATTCACCTTTTTGCATATGCTCATCTCGGATTCAGTTACCAATTACGTGTTGTTTTTCACATTCCAGTCTGCTTTTCTATCCCAGGTTGTACCATCTTCGCATT